GAAAGGTGTAACCTTTAGTTGGGGAGCCAAGCAAGACACTGCATTTCAAACATTGAAGCAGGCCCTGTGCAGCGCACGTATCTTGTCCCTGCCCGAAGGGACGGAGGACTTCGTTGTCTAATGTGATGCATCTAATCAGGGCCTAGGCTGTGTGCTCATGCAACGAGGAAAGGTTATCGCATATGCCTCGAGGCAGTTGGAAACGCACGAGGTCAATTACACAACTCACGATCTAGAGTTGGGAGCAGTGGTCTTTGCATTAAAGATCTGGAGACACTATCTCTATGGAACCAAGTGCACTATTTTCACCGACCATAAGAGCTTGCAGCACATCTTTGATCAGAAGGAGCTAAACATGAGACAGCGGCGATGGGTAGAGTTACTCAGTGACTACGAGTGCGAAATTCGCTACCATCCCGGCAAGGCCAATGTAGTAGCAGATGCCCTCAGTCGGAAGGAGTATTCAGGGCGAAAGGTGAAAGCATTAACGATGACTATTCATTCCCATTTATCCACGCAAATCCGAGAGGCTCAGCTGGAAGCCTTGAAACCAGAGAAAGTGGCGGATGAAGCCTTGCGGGGAATGGACAAGAACTTGGAGATCAAGGGGGACGGAATGTACTATTTTATGAACCGGATCTGGACCCTAAAGTACGGCGGGTACAGAGAGGTTGTCATGAATGAGGCTCACAAGACTAGGTACTCCATTCACCCAGGTTCAGATAAGATGTATCTGGATCTCAAACAACTTTATTGGTGGCCAAACATGAAAGCAGATATTGCTACCTTCGTGAGTAAGTGTTTGACTTGCGCCAAGGTGAAGATAGAGTATCAAAAGCCCTCAGGTTTGCTTCAGCAGCCGGAAATACCTGAGTGGAAGTGGGAAAGGATAACCATGGATTTCATCACTAAGTTACCCAGATCTCCGAGTGGGCACGACGCCATCTGGGTAATTGTCGATCGAGTGACTAAATCCGCCCACTTCCTACCAATCAAGGAAAACTTCAAAATGGAGAGACTGACACGAATCTACATCCAAGAGATAGTTCGACTGCACGGTGTGCCTGTGTCCATTATCTCCGACCGAGATAGCAGGTTCACCTCAAGATTTTGGCAATCGTTACAGAAGGCTCTTGGAACCAAGTTGGATATGAGCACGACTTATCATCCACAGACGGATGGACAGAGTGAGAGAACAATACATACATTGGAAGATATGTTGAGAGCCTGTGTCATTGACTTTGGCACGTCATGGGACGCTCATCTTCCTCTAGTCGAGTTTTCCTACAACAACAGCTACCATACCAGCATCAAGGTTGCGCCGTTCGAAGCCCTCTATGGTCGTAAGTGCAGATCCCCTCTGTGTTGGGCTGAGGTGGGTGACACGCAGTTGGCCAGGGGTCAAGTCCCCGATAGTACTCTCACTGGTCCTGAAATCATCCGAGAGACAACTGAAAAGATCGTACAAATCAGGGAACGACTGAAAGCCTCACGAGACAGACAAAAGAGCTACGCCGATAAGAGAAGAAAGCCCTTGGAGTTCGAGGTTGGTGACCGCGTCCTTCTGAAGGTCTCACCCTGGAAAGGCATGATACGTTTCGGAAAACGTGGAAAGCTAAACCCAAGGTACATTGGACCATTCGAGATCCTTGCTAGGATCAGTCCCGTGGCATACAAACTCCAGTTACCACGAGAGCTTAGCAACATCCATCCTGTCTTTCACGTTTCAAATCTTAAGAAATGCTTATCCGACGAAACCCTTGTGGTCCCTCTCGATGAGATTGAAATCAACGAGAACCTAAACTTTGTGGAAGAACCGGTCGAAATCATGGATAGAGAAATCAAACGAACGAAACAAAGTCGCATCCCGATAGTGAAGGTTCGCTGGAATGCCAAGCGGTGACCTGAATTCACTTGGGGCCGCGAAGATCAGATGAAACAGAAGTATCTGCATCTCTTTCCTAATTCATGATTTGTATTCTATGTTCGAATTTCGGGACGAAATTCCCTCTAACGGGGGGATGATGTGACAACCCGAAACTTTTCGCGTTATCCTTACCCAGTTTCCGTTAATAAAATTTGGGTTTTTATTTAATTCCGTCAAATTTCTTAATTTGGGAAGGACCTTAAGTTTTAATAAATAATATGAATTTTATACGATTCAGAATAAACTGGGAATCACGCGAAAAACTTGAAACTTCCTCGAAAATCACCGAGTTCACGGTCAGGACGAGTTTACGACCGTAAACTCGTGTAGACCGTAAACCCGTTTACGGTCAGGTGGACCCCCCTTGAACCAGAACTCTACCCTATATATAGAGTATTTGGCCTTCATTTCACACTCTAAACACTTCAAAGGCTTTCTCTCTCTACCTTCATCGAGTTTCCTCCAAGATCTTCAAGTTATCTTCAAGAATCCTCAAGAACACCTTAGTGTTTTGGACCCAAAACACCTTTCTTTGCCTTCAAATCGTAAGTATCATCCTCTTATACTTTTATCTAGTTAGGATTCTTGAGTTTTGCCTTGAAATCGTCACTTTTCCATGAACAAAAGGTGTTTACGGTCTAGTGTATCTCCTTAGACCGTACACCCTTCAATGACCGTATATTCATGGGCCGTAAACCCATGAACCGTAAACCCATGGACTGTAAACCCTTATAAAGGGTGTTCTTTTAGCCTTTACCCTTCTTAAGGCTAAGCATGGTCCCTAGAATCTGATGCCTTTGATTGAAGCCCTTGAAAACCATCATTTGTGCAAGATTTGATGAGTTTACGGTTGAATCTCCTTAGACCGTGAACTCCATGACCGTAAGGTCATTAGACCGTGAACTTCATGACCGTAAGGTCATTAGACCGTGAACTTCATGACCATAAACACCTAAGACCGTGAACACTTGGACCGTGAACTCCAATGGTCATACCTCTTTGACCGTAAACTCTATAGGGTGGCCATATACCCTAGTTATGCAATCATATGTGATTGTATCCCATAAATCTTAGAGTTTCCTAGGCAATAAGGGTGTTACCCTTCTTATTTAGTCGTCTATACACTAAATTCATACACATACATGTATATATGTGTCTATTAGGATCATTGTGTGCTCAAGGTTACACCTGACACTCTGCACTCCTCTTCCAACCACACGTCAGAACCACTCACTACAGGTGAGTTCATACCCCTACATTTTCCGTGATTTTAATGTTTTCGGGGGGGAATACAAGCCAAATTCAAAGTATCTTACTAAGTTTTAAACTTATTAATGCAGTTCAATGATTTCCACATTTAATAAAATTGTCTGATATTTTATCCCTTTTGTATTATGTTGAGCATAAGGGAAACTTTTATTTCGGAAATCTAATCTCACAGTTTTCGTAAAGGTTTTAACAAAGCAATTTCCAAATCAACTCTAATAAACTATATATAATGGGTATAGTTTGGGATAACCCTCTCGGCAGCTTTTACCAAATTAGATTTCAGAAATGAATATATATAAACTATGGCAGATTTAGTTTATGTTATATATTTTCTATGGAGTATAAAATACAATTATTTAAGGATGATTATTGTTTTATACTATTTCTAGCATGTAAACTAGATTATACATAATTGTGAGGCTCTACTTCAATACTGTACCCTTATGTGTATAGTGATAAATCCTTTTAGTATAACCAGAGTCTCCTGGAGGGAGAGCGTGAGATTTGTGAATAGATCTATTCGGGACTGGCAATCCCACACCTGAACTGCTAGCTACAGTTAGGCGGGCACGCCTGGGGTGAACAAATGTCATTTAGCTCAACGCCTGAAGAACGTTGTAAAGGTCTCTCGGTCATATCAAGTATGGTTATACGACTCGCAAATAAGTATAAACTAACTTTGGTTTACGGACTCTATTCTTCTTATGTTTTATTTTGAGTAATGAAACTACCTTTATATATGTACTAATGGCAATCATGGGTTTCTAAACTTGTATCTCTACCTCTAGGATGGATAAACTGTTTTTAGGGAAAATATAGGATTTTCCCAGAATAACTTTGGCATTTCTAAAACTGATGGTTTATTTTCTACTAGTGGGTATTCGTATTCATTCCATGACTCCCCGAATTGTGCGTATTAGTACGAACTGGGAAGACATGGAAGGAACGGGTTTTCAAACCTTCTTTTCATAAGAAAATATGAGATTTTCTTGAGGAACACTTTTCAAAAGGATCAAAGAACATTTTCCACCAAAAACTAAACGCTTATGAACTCACCAGCTTTATGCTGATTTTCTTTCAAAACTGCTTGTATTCTCAGGGAATCAGTAGATAGGTAACTCCCGAGCACGGTGAAGAAGTCAGAGCGAATAAAATTATGTCTTTATATATCTTCTTATACTTTTGATGTATTTAAAACAAGTCTCAAACCGATGTAAACATATCAAAGTTTTCATGTATGCAATGTTTGGGTTGTGTTTACTATGATTCCTGTTATACATTGGTTGTGATGGTAAACATGACGTCCTCCGCTCCGGAACGATTCCGCCATTCTTGTTTCGGGGTGTGACACTTATTCCATAGCAAAATTGCTATGAACTATACCTGTAGCAATGTCGTAGCAAATTAACTACAATTTATTCCATAGCAAGTCTGTAGCAAATTAACTACGACTCAATCCGTAGTTAATTCGTTGCAATTTAACGACAGACTAACCCCGTAGTTGATTTCCATAGAAAATCCACTACCGATAATAGCGTAGCAAATATTCCGTAGTGAATTTACGACGACATAATTCCGCATCAAATATTTCGTAGTAAATTTACTACTGTTTATTTCCGTAGCAAATTTACTACAATACACTTTTGTTGAAAATATTTCATAGTAAATTTATCACGGCCTACTTCCGTTGCAGAAAAAATGAGACATAATACATTCCATAGAAATTCAGCTACATAATACTAGATAAAAATATCTGTAGTAACTCCTTAAAAATACCAAATAGCCAAAAATGGTGACATGAATAGTTCAAATACATACAAAAATGACTTAATTTTATTTCCCAAACAAATTTATAACAAAATCAGCATTATGTAAATGCAATAACAATTTGTCAAAAATATTGTAGAAATCCTATGTAAAATACTAACAAACATTTCTAAGTTACCGAAAATATTGTTTGCCGGTACAAAGTTGCCACAAAAGAAGACCATTCTTTGCGAATTTCATCAATATCAGCATCTATGTATCCATCTTTGACACCCCCAACCTGAGAAAAAAATGTATTGCACTATATAGAGAGAAGAACATGCAAAATCTTGGGATATGTAAAAAACAATTGTAAGCAATTTGACATCATATACTACCTATCAATTTGAAAAATAAACATAGAATGGTCATTTTAATTCGTTTTCTGTGGTGGATTCCATTCCTTAAAAAAATGAAAATCGAGTTTATATATAGAATACCCAAAATGAAATAAATTTTATAGCTTATTACTCTTCAAATTTAAAAAATATTAAGCCTCATAGAAAACATTTAAAGAAAAAAAGATAAAGAAATACTTCCTATTTTAATGTCAATAGCAGGGAAGATATTTTTGAAACATTATGACAAAAATGCAAAATTGGTCCCTGTGGTATTTAAAAAATTTTGGATAGGGTCCAAAAAGTTTTCAACTTGCATGGATGGTCCAAAATCAAGAATTTCTTTTGGTTTTGGTCCTGAAAAAGTTGAAAGGACTATTTTGCCCTTAATATTACTTTTTACATTTTTTTATTTGTTTTAATATTTAAATAATTATAGAAAAATAAAAAAAAATAAACCCCACAACCTCTCTCTCTCTCTCTCTCTCTCTCTCTCTATATATATATATATATATATATATATATATATATATATATATATATCAATCAACAATCCTTAAATGACGCCACCAATGATGGTGACCCTCACCCCCAATTTGCCGTCCATAGTGGAGATGGATCTCTGGTTGATAGTGTCGATATGGAATGAAGGTGGTGAAGGAAGGCATGAAGGCTAACGATCATCCCTGATCCACACGAAGCATTCCTAACCCTAGCTCCTTCTCCGTTTACACAATCACCGACCACTCTCTGAACCACCCTAATTGCTGCGGCAGCATTGACGTGTGACCTCCCTAGAAGTCCAAGAAACACAATCATTGATGTCTTTGTCCCAAAAGTGCCTACTATCTGTAAGTATGACTCCATTGCTGATACCCAAACACCCTCTCGATTGAAGCTCTGGTAAACTTTAGATCATTGGTCATTTAGAGATTAAGCCTTGGTGGTGAATTTAAAGGGGTGTTATAGGAAGAATTGTTGGTAAACCCAAAGTTGTCTTTGAAATGGACAGGAGGTGAGGAGGTGATAATCGGTGGTGGTTGTGGTGTTGCAGGAAAATGGGAGGTGCAATGAATGGAGATGATGAGAGATGGGGTTGGGAGCAAATCCGATTGGGGGGAGAGAGAGAGAGAGAGTGTGTGTGTGTGAGCATTTTTTATTTTCAATTAAAGTATAAAAATAAATATGGAAAAATACAAAAAAGAAATTAGAAGGGCAAAACGGTCATTACAAGTGCTTTATGGACCAAATTCACAGGAAATTCATGATTTTGGGACTAAAACCAAAGGAAATTCTTGATTTTGGACCATCCATGCAAATTGAAAATTTTTTGGACCCTATCCAAAGATTTTTGAATACCACAGGGACCAATTTTACAGTTTTGTCAAACATTATTGTTGTAAGTTTCAAATGTTGTTCACCAGTCCCAAAACCAGAGAGCACAATTTGTATTCAAATTCAAATTTGACTCGATCAACATCAATATTAGCTTTGTGAAAAAACGATAATGACTAAATACAAAAAATAAATGTAACAAATAAATCAACAAAAGTAGATTGCAATTTTTTTTTTTGAATGATAAACAATAGATGTAAATTAGGGAAATACCAGGGGAGAGTTTTTGAAGAGGTCTTTTGGAACTCTTGGGCGTAACTGGGAGTTGGCAATATCAGTACCAGTGACACAGTGACAGTACCTTTTCAAACTTCCCCACGAGCCTCATGTACTGTTCCTGGCCTTCAGGATTCCGAGCCATGGAATGCAGCCTAGCCAATGCCTCTTCCACTCCAACATATTTCTGTTTCCGACCTATTCTCAAGAAATCATATTCCGATTCCGGAGCTCTCAATTCCGGCCAGAATCCACGCAACCCACGGCTCTTTGGTCTCCATCTGAGTATCGCTTTCTCCACTATCGCAACAGAACACACCACTTTTTTGTAATGCTTTCGAACTTTATGCCCACAAAAATGTGCCTAAAAAATCTAATAAATAAGATTCCCACTTAAATTAACAACATCAAAAAACTAACACCAGTTTACCTGAATCTTGACAACACGCTCACGAATCTTTAAGAACTCATTTCTTCTTTTGCACTACCAACAGAGATAAAAAGCATCAACTGTTACTTGTTACTTACTGAATGATCCTTGTTTCTCATTTTAAGTAAATATTCAATTGGTAGAATAGAAATACAAGCTGATCAGACATCGGGTACAACTTAAATGAATCAATTCAAAGCTTGAAAAAGTTGATTAATTTCGATGAATTTTAATACTTACAGCTGCAGAAAGTGATTTCCATTTATCACCACTAGCTTTCCGAACCTATTGAATTAAGAAATCCCAAACATTGTTGTTGAATTTTACCACAAATAGACCTTCCAAACATGATTATTTTGAATTAAAAATGTGATTACCTGATCTTCAGGAAAAAATCCTCAATTTGTGTTGAGGAATATCAGATGATTAACTGAAGAAAATGATATCGAATTAAGTATTTTAATCAGTAATAGAGAGAAGATCTGCAAAGAATGATCGTACCTGTACAGAGCACCGGTTGTGGCTTGGATGACGATATTGACCGGTGAAAGTGTAAAGAGTAGAGAGAAAGAAAGAGATACATAGAGAGAGGATAATTATAGAGCTTATGACGGTTTTAGGTGGAGAAACTGGATCAGAGATGGTGATGACTAGGGTTACTGAAGTAGTTCTTCGGCGGTGGTGAGGTCAAGTTAAGTTGTAGTGAATCTAGGGTTGTTCGGTTCTCACGAGTCGACGACAATGGCTGGTTTGAGACTTGAGAGGGCAGAGTGACGAGAAGAAGAGAGTGTATGGTGTCGGCGTTTTTCTCTATAAGAATGAATATCAAAAACCCTAAAAACGCTTAGGTCTAAGGACATCAGTATAAGTACTTTTTTCCTATTTTTTTAAAAACAAAATTACCAAAATATAAAAGTTTAATATATATATATATATATATATATATATATATATATATATATATACACACTAGCCGTTTACCCGCGCCAAGCGCCGGGTGCGAATACTTTTTTCAGAAATTAGTTTGTAGAGGTGGCGATTAGTTCTTTTGCACAAATAGTTTACTACGTCTAAACAATTATCAATGATAGTCATGCTGGCATAAACGAAATCCGTAAGAACTAAAAATGTAAAAGTTGGGACTCTTTATTGATGCACACGAACACATGATTGATTGTGCACCATTAATCGTGCAACACTTCTTTATACACCACATTTGATGTATAGACTTCACTGTCGTTGAATTGTTCATCAAGGTTCACTAAAACTTTTGTATGGGAACGTGATATCCCTCTAGATAATGCCACATAAAGTTGGCAATGCGAGAAAACCGATTCCGGTAGATAAATACCTACATTTGGAATTGTTTGTCCTTGAGCTTTGTTGATCGTCATCGCGAAACATTTCGAACAGTAATATGACCATCCATCACTGAAATATTTTTCAATTAAAGTTATATTTTACATATCAATTTCTTATATTTTGTTTAAAAAAATAAATCACCCAATTTTATTGAAAATAATAAAAATTTAAATGTTTACATTTATTACCCTATATATATTAACACAAAATAGTCTTAACATTATGAATTATAACAAAAATTGTGAATTTATTGGAAGACAATAAAATAAATAGTATAAAAAAAGCTTCTTGAAAAAATTAATGGGTTATGGTAAAGTTGAATTGTTATTTTAAAAACAAATTAAATCAATTGAACATATATTTTAAACATTTTTTTTGCTTAAATACATTTACACATTTAATTTAATCTGATTAATATATCTTTATTTATAGGAAGATGCATTTGTAAATTCATTTTTGTAACCCTAAAGAAGCCGACACCCATCTTCCTTTTTCTAACCCTAAAGAATCTGACACTCATCTACCACTCTTTCTCTCCCAAGCGCATCTACCCTTTTCATCGACCTCATCTGATCCGTTTAACATCCAAACACAGCCTCCACGCGTACAACCTTCATCAATAGAAACCATCGGCGACTACCACGACCACCTCAAACGGCCACCGGATCCTTCTCATCTATAACCCCTATCTCTCATCTGGACTTACACGACGATTGCAAAATAGAGTTATGTTGACACCAGATCTAGACATCACCACAGATCGAAATCGATGCAATTGTTGTTTGGAGAAACCCACTGGGGTTGCGTTGAGGATATGTGAGTTCTTATTGCTTGCTGCTTTTCTTGTTGCTGAGACGCGTCTGCTTATGAATTTACAGGTTCCGACACTTTCTTTTGGTCTAACTCTCATCTTATATATCTATCTCTCAACCATATACCTAACAGAAAAGCCCTAAACCAAGCATTTATTGTATAATTTTCAGACATTTGAAGGAGAGATCAACATGAAGTGCTTGTTTATTCATAATTGCATCTTCTTCAAGAGAAATGTATGCATCATTAGCTATGTTTGTGTCATCTCATTTAACATCATTAATGTGTTTTAGATTATCCTTGTTCTGATGATATAGAATGAGAAATAAAGGCCAAAATCACGTTCATAAACTAAGCAATTTATTTATTTTTTCAGGAAAATCTTAAGAGAGACCATCAGAAAGTGTTTATCACATAATCGCCTTCTTCCTAATGGATTGTAGGAGGATTCTACTAATTGCCTTTTCTGTTGCATAAAGTTTCTCAATCTTATTTCTCACGATCTCCATGGCTTTAAAAGGTCAGTGTTTACTCTCACCTTATGGTGTTTCCTCTCCATTTCAGGTTCTAATGTTTGAGTTTCAAACAATTTTGATATACAGGTTCAAAAATAAAATCCCATATAATCTTTACATTGGGAGCTTAGTTAAGATAATTGGAAACTGATAATTGGATAATACAGATAAGAGGTGCTTTTATTTGTTATTCAATGCCCAATATTTCCTTATAAGCAACTTTGGTCGCTTAGGTAGCTGTATTAGATAATGAAAATTAGAAAGTCAACTGTGATATTAATATGCCTAAGTGTGATCTTGATCAGTGTCTTGTAATTTATAAGGTTTGATTATGTGTTTGTGTCATCTCAGTTAACATCAATTAATGTGTTTTAGCTTATCCTTGTTCTAATGGTATAGAATGAGAAATAAAGGTCAAAATCACTTTCATAAACTAAGCAATTTGTGTATATTTTTTTCAAGAAAATCTTAAGAGAGACCATCCGAAAGTGTTTTTTTTAACTCAAAATCGGTTCATCCTAACTCATAGGTTTTATTTACTGTTGATGGCTCCTTAAACAGTTCTGATTTTGGTATATCATCTGATACTATTACGAATTTTGTGCATGTGAAACCAGTGGAATGTGATTATCACACAAAATATGAGGAGTAATGTTACGGTTTTACTGGCACATTGGAAACCTAATTGACAAAGATACTAAATTTGTGACATGTGATAAGGTATATATGTGTACTTATTTTTATTGAACATGATTTTGGTATATATATTGACATATTGATATTTTTTTAACAATTTTTGGTGTTTATATGATATATCAAGACTGCATGGGTTGCCGACAGATCTTGATTGTCAGATATTTCATTTCTTAGATGAAGATAGTTACATGGAGATGCGACACAAATAACTAAATTTATGAAGTTGTTTAAATGAAAAATATTGTTCTTTACCTTTATGTTTTTAATGGTGACTTTGTTTTTAAGAATCAATGTTGGAATTGGAGTATGAATCATTCTAATATAAGTATCCCAATTCATATTAATATAATAAGAGATAATCTTAAGGAAAATACACATACCTGTTTTATTTTGATGATGCCGATAGAATAGATTATTGCTATGAACCTTATAGAACAAACGTCTTCTATGCCTGTTGAAAGAAAAACATAGTTATTGAATATGGTGTATACATGAGGAAGTAAAAAATATAGTTTAAAAAAGATGGAAAACATACGTATGAGCAGATTGTGGAACTGGTGAAAGTTTTCTCTCTTAATCTGAATCACAGATTCTTTTTGTCAATGGCGTACTGTGATAGTATAGATATATATTCTAATAAATCTGTTTAAAGTTTGTTATGAATGGATAAGATACAATTCATATATATGTGCATGTATATTTAAAAATTTGTTTTTAAAATTCGTAATCTATTTGGATATGCATTATCTTTTTATCTGATAAATAATCAATATTACGGTATTAATTTAATAAAAAAGTTATTTATCGGTTTTGAGATGCATGTGTTTAACATTGAAATTCATGGTGCTTTTTGAAACATAGAAAATCCATGTGAGTCATTTTTCTAAAATAACTTCCAGGGCTAGAATGGTCAATGGGACGCCAACCAGCAATAAAAATAAAATGAGGCAGCATTGTCCGAAAGAAAGAACCATCATATCAAACATTATTTTTGATTTCTTTTGTGATTAGCATCATATGTTTGTTTCCATAATAGTTTTTTTTTTGAAAAAAAAAAGGTTGAGCAACGTGCATTTGATGGTGTGTTGCATGAAGTTGAATTTGTTATACCTTTCATGCAGCAAAAAAACTATTCATGTATCTATCTCACCTTCTGTAAGCTTACAGTCAAGAAGAGGTTGTGGATATTAAGAACTTACCTGAATTGTTTTTTTTATGCAGGAAAACAAATTGGAGATGGGTATTAAGAAAATTAATTAAGAATAAACATAGATGTGATAATTTTAGGTACACACACAGAGATTTTGTGCCTGATTCTTTTGTATAGGAGAAAAGAAGATCATTGGGTGATTGTTGCTGGCTGATTTTGTGGTCTAGTGATTCGGTACCTGTAAACACAAAAAAAACACACACATACACACACCATTAAAGAGAATAGTAATTGTATCCTTTTGTTTTTTTGGATGTTGTTGACTGCTTGGGTACATGTAAACACAAAAAAACATACCCAAGCATCATTCAGTAGGAAGCTAAAATGGTACATGTAAACACAAAAAACACACAAGCACGATTTCACTACCTGGATATATTTTTTTTGGGTTATTGATGGCTGTGTCGCATATAGGTTAAGAGCTACCTATAAACACCAAAGAAAAAAAAACGACACCATTAATGAGAGTTAGAATATATATATATATATATATAGATGAAATAGCTGAAATAAAGGGAGAAAGATCTATTATTCAAGATTTTTTAATTTCGAAAAAGATACACATAATAAACCTTATCTTTGAAGTTTAAACATTCAAAAAACTATTTGTATTACGTTTGACTGATTCAATGGTTGACCATAGATCCTCCAATGCTTTAAATGGTTGTACACATTGCATTTGGGCATGTACCTCTTAAAATTCAGCCTTTGACTAAATTTGCATAATAAGTAATAAAGATATATATATATATATATATATATATATATATATATATATATATATATATATATATATATATATATATATAGAAAAGGCGGGTACCCGTCGGTACCGGTCCGGTTAACCGCCGGTTCCGGGTACCCGGTATTGGAACCGGAACCGGCGGGTATCCAGCGTGTATCGGTTTTGTAAAAATAAGAATTGGAACCGGAAACGCTTAAGGCGGTTCCGAAACCTTAGGAACCAGAACCGGAACCGCTTAAGGTAGTTCCAGTTCCAGAACCGGCAGTTTCGAGGCGGTTCCGGTTCCGAAAGCAGGGTAGAGTGGGAGTATGAGTGTGGATGTGGAGGTGGGTGGGATAAGTATGGGTGCAGGGTAGAGTTGGTTGGATGGGTGTGTGGGTGTGGGATGAGGTAGCGATAGTGTTGGCTTGTGGCTTAAGGCTTAGGGCTTATGGCTTATGGCGTAGTGTGTAAGGCTTATGGCTTGGGGTTAGAGATTAGGGCTCATGGCTTAGGGCTTACGACATAGGGCTTAGCTAGGTGTTAAGGCTTAGGGATTAGGGCTTATGTTTACTTATGTGGGTTACTTAGACTAAGGGGATGCATTTTCTATTAGGGGTGAGCAAACCCAAACAAAAAACCAAGAAACCGACGAAACCAAGACCGAAAAACCCGAAACTGAAGCAAAACCGACGTTTAGGGTTTGCTATTTTTAAAAACCGAAAATTCGGGTTCGATTTCGGTTTTTACCCAGAAACCGACCCATCCAACCCGGGAAACCGACCCACCCTTAAAAACGAAATATCGCCCCAAGAAACCGACCCATCCAACCCGAGAGACCACCCATACTTGATTGTGTTTTGGTTGTAATAGACTATTTCGAGCTTTGGCTGTAACTTGTAATAGATTATTTGTTGTAAGACTCATGTTTTTTGAAGTATTTGACTTCAATTTGGTGTTTTTTGAAGTATCTAACTTGTTGCTTCATTTATGGAAAATGGATTGGAACCCAAAACCCATGGGTTTAAACCCAGAACCTGTGATCAGTGTATGGGTTGAACCCAAGAAACCGAAAAATCATCCAAACCGACCTCAGAACCCGAGAAACCGAACCGACCAGAAACCGATCCAATTAGGTTCTAAAAACCAGAAAGCGGTTGGGTTGGGTTTGGGACCAAAACTGACCCATGCACAACCCTATTTTCTATTAAGAGGTTCGGTCGAGGTCCAATGCGCATCGGAAAGCACCACAATCGATCAAACAAACGGGATGTGACCAGCCCCCTACCAAACTATTTCTAAGATTTTGGCGGTTCTTGCTTACCTCAAATGCAACATGGTTGCTACTAAAGTCTGGACTCACAATTTAAGAAAGGCTTCAATCTTAAATATTTGAGGTAGGAATCGGTTTCGGTTTATGGGTTTTTTGGTTTCCTTGAATCGGTTTCCTCGGTGTGAGTCGTGAATGAGGATTATGAGTCGTAAATACTGAATACTGAAAATCATAAAACGGTCTAAGGTCTAAAATGTATTTTACTTTATATTGGTTATTTAATATTTTATTTAATGTATGAAATATAAAAATAATTTTTAATTAAGTAATTAGTAATTGAATTCGAATTTCGGTTTTAAGGGTTTAAACTTTACTTAAGAAACCTCCAAACACTTAAAAATGCATAATGGAAATTTCTATTGTATAATATTTTTGGTTTTTATATTATAGTATAATAGCTACGACCTATGATCTTGTAGCAAATTCTGTAGCGACATAGCTAAGGATTTTGACTCCGTAAGAAATGTCGTAGCAAGCTAGCTACGGACTTAGATGTGGTAGCAAAATTTGTAGCAAAATAGCTACAGATTTTGATTCCGTAACAATTTCTGTAGCAAAGTAAATACAAACTTTAATCTGTAGCAACAGTTGTAGCAAAATACCTACGCCTTATAATTTTGTAGCAAATTTCGTAGCATGATAACTACGGACTCCAATTGCGTAGCAAAATTCTATAGTTATTCAAATATTAGCCATAGAATGCAATTCTGTAGCTAATTCCGTAGCAAATATACCTACGTCTAACTAGTTCGTAGTATATTCCATAGTAGAATAGCTACGGTTTTTAATTTTGTAGCAACATTCCGTAGTTATTCAAATATTACCTACGGAATGTAATTCTGTAGCAAGTTCCATAGCAAAATAGCTACGACAAGCCCTTCCGTAGCATAATATGTAACAGAATAACTACGGATTTTACTTTCGTAGCAAATTTCCATAG